GCCGCCACCCCCACTGACCCTGAGGTGAGAGGCTGGCTTTCTACTTACTCCTGGGGAAATGGCCTCGGTGCCCCCAACAAGCCCCCTCCACCCCAGGTCTCCCCTCATCTCTGTGAACTTTAAGACCCTCCTTCGGGAATTAACTCTCCCTTGAGTGGAGATGTGACTTTGGGAGAGAATGTGGTGCAAAGGCGTAGAGCAGTGGGAGGATCACCTGGTGGGGTAGGAGGAGATGGTGAGTAGGTGAACGATCCCAAGAGAAAGCTGAAACATGGACGGGACTGACCGGATGGTTGGGGGTCCTAACCATGCAGGCCAACCTCCCGGAACAGATGAGCTGTGGTGCAGGAGAGGAGGTAGTCACCCTTGGGAGGGGACTCCCCAGGCCAAGGATGTTCTCACCAACGTCCAAAGGGTCACAGAACTGCCATCAATGCAGTTTGTCGCTGTTGATGTTGACTGCACCACTGCAGGGTTAACCCCTCTCCCATTTCCATCCTGTCCCCTTTGGAAGGAAGTCATGGTGCACTGCCCACAGAAGGACTGGGGAGTTGGGCTCCGCCTCCTTGACTTGGGAGCATCTGTGTAAATTATTGGGGTTGTTGAAGGGGAGATTCACCTCTTCTACATTTATTATTTAGTCAATCATATATGTACATGTTTTATTAACTTTCCAAATTCCTTCATGACACAGTAGCTCCACAGACAGGGAAAGCCTACGTTTGACAAAGATTATACGAATGTCCTTACGTAGTACATTTCAGAAACTGAGAAACTGTTCGTGCCTTTGTGTGTTTGGGATTCATTCCAAAGGTTTTTAGGCTGCTCTATCACTGAGAATTGTTAATCACAAAAACTCCAAGTGGTCATGCAGAATGAGCTCATCAAAGTGGCCCCAATGTCCGTTCCTGGTCTTTGAGATCACTATGTTTCTAATGTTTACTTCCAATCCACTTTTTTTTTCTTTAAGATTTTTATTTATTTATGAGAGAGAGAGAGAGGCAGAGACATAGAGGGAGAAGCAGGCTCCCTGTGGGGAATCCGATGCAGGACTTGATTCCAGGACCTGAGCCAAAGGCAGATGCTCAACCACTGAGTCACCCAGGTGCCTCTCAAATCTACTCTTTTAACCCAAAAATGTACTGCAGGAGGGGCTGAAGATCCAAGCCACCTGAGTTTGGAAAATTCTGAACATTTCAAACCTCCCCTTGAGACAAAGGCCTGCTGTGGAGTCCCTGTGTGCTGGAGGCCAGAAGTACGACCGGGAGTTCTCCCCTCCCTCCCACCAAAAAACCTGGTTTTTAAAGGGTTTGTAATACAGTTGTGCAAATTTGAAGCTTACATAAATATTAAAACACAACAGTAAGCGTACTAACCTGTAAACCCAATCTGGCTGGCTGCCTGCTTTGGTTTTGCCAGTGAGCTACAAATGATTTTCACACTTTAAATTGTTGGGGGGGAAAACATCGACAGAAGATTATTATTTTATGGCACATGAAAATCACGTGAAATTCAAATTTCAGGGCATCTGGGTGGCTCAGTGGTTGAGCGTCTGCCTTCAGCTCAGGGCGTGATCCCGGGGTCCTGGGATCAAGTCACACATTGTGCTCCTTGCTGGGAGCCTGTGTCTCTGCCTCTCACTGTCTCTCACGAATACATTTTTAAAAATCTAAAAAAAAAAAAGAAAAAGAAAAAATTCACATTTCAGTGTTCTTCATGAAAGTCCTAGTGGTACACAGCCATGTTCAATTGTTTGTATAGTGTCTGTGGCAGTTTTTGTGCAAAGACAGCACAATCTAGCAGTTGTGAGAGAGACGGAATGGCTTGAAAAATCTAAAATATTTACTATCTGGCCTTTCACAGAATAAGCCAGCCAACCCCTAGGTTCGGGCTTAGACAAGTGAAAGCCTTTTTCGTGGAGTTATATTACTGATGTGGCTTGGGCTCGCCGGCTCGTGGTGAGGGAAATCAGGCTGACTGTGGGCAGTGCAGCCACCGTGGATACTACCCAGTGGTTTCCCGCAGCCACAGCCAGGGCAGGGGGTGGTGGCACTGTCCCAGGTGCAGGGAGAGTCCCCGGCTATAGAGGTTGGAATGCTATCAAACCAACAATGTCCGTCTGCATTTTATCCACCTGAGCCAGCATGGGCGCATAAGTACAGGGGGACCCAATCTCTCCACCATCTTGGCTGCAGAGGGCAGAAACCTAACTTGAATGAGCTGGAGAGCTGGGATTGTTCACTGGTGTCATTGGTCTGCACGACATTGGGTTGGTTGGGCTTTGGGACACTGGACTCTCATGGATTTGCTTCTCCTGGCACTCAATAGGCCTTGGTGCTCGGACCAATTTTGCCACAAGGAACCAAGCCTTACAGCGTGTCATCAGCCAGGTGCAGCCCTCAGGCATGGCCAGTGGAGGGAAGGAATGCCCATGTCTGGGTTTAGAGTTGAAACATGGCCAGGAAGCATCTGACTGGTAGGGAGGGTGGAGTTAAGGGTTGGCAGAGTTTGGAAAGGTGACAGACCTTTGACTCAAGATAGGGAAATGTTCAGATGGCCTCTGGGTTCTTTTTAAGCCTAGACATTCCTGTAGATTTCTTTCTCTCCCATCTGTTTCCCCATGATTGCTTCTCAATGTGTTTTTTCTCCTTGACGGGTCCCAAACCTCTGATACAGCACCCCCCCCCCCCGCCAGCCCCTCCCTTCAATGTAATCCTCATCCCCCACCTCCCATTCATTCATCAAGTGCAGGTGATGATGAAGCAGGGGATGCTGAGAGCCTGTCGCTCACTGCTGTGTCCCACTGCCTGGCATGTAGGAGCTGTTCATTGTGCCTCTATAAACTGGAGAGACAGGCACTGCCCTTGTCCTTTTGGACCTTAGGTCCCACCACCCTAAGACCACCTAGTCTGGCAAAGCAGATTCATTTATCCACTGTACGAGGAACCCTGAGCAGCTCACCTGACAAAGGTAAAGAGTGAGCTTTCATAGGATTTTGTGGAAGGTGGGATTTGGGTGAATTGTGAGAGAAGCAGTGTTTCCACAGGCTTGGTGCAAAGCAGGGCCATGTGGGCCTGTCTGAAACCAGGATCAGGTCAGGGCTGCAAGGTGGACCAGCTCCCATTCCCTTGGGAACCTCAGAGCTATTCTGGAGCTCTGCACATGGGTTGGAAATCCAGGCTCTTCTCTGGCAAAGGTGGCTTAAATTCTCTAGGCGGGAGCAGGATGTTTCATTCGTAATGATGGAATTTCAAACAGCAAAGTTGTTGCTAATCTATGATTTTGGAGTTTAAAGTTGTTTTTGAGTAAAACATTCATTACTCAAAGGGATCATTGTGATACTTTACAGGTGCAGCCATGTGTCCCTGAGAACATTTCCTGTGAACTTTAGGAAGAGTAAAAACTTTCAGCTGGCTTTCTCTGTGTCTGTTCCTGGGGCCTGATGAATGGGCCAGCGGATCCTGGAATTACCCACTCTCAGTCTAGGGGCGGGGCGGGTATTTGTACATTAAGTGCTCCATTGGCTCCAGTGGGAGGAGAGAGGGAAGGGATGGGCTGGAGGAGGCAAAGAGGCCGGGAAGGAGGCTATTACTGCAGTCTGGCCTGAGAGGGGGCTCCAGGACTTGGAGGGAAGGGGTGGATGCAGAAGCTGTCTTGGAAGTAAAACAGAACCTGGGGACAGAGGGAAGAGGAGGCAGGGGAGGTGCTGACGTGCACTAAGGCAGGAACTAAGAGGAGCAGTTTTGGAGGGAAGAGGCTGTTTGGTTTCTGCTGGGGTGAATTTCAGGTGCAGCCACGCAGAGATGCTGGATAAGCAAACATATGGGGTCAAAGTGCAGGCCAGAGGCCCAGCGGGGAGCGCAGGTTTGGGGGGTCAGCGCAGTGGACAGGTGGAATACAAGTCACAGGAAGGCTGTTCTCTCAGGGAGGCATGCGTAGCCCTGGGAGAGCAGCGGGAGGAAGGCCAGCAGACCCTGCGTGAAAACACCTGGGAGAGGGGAGGAGAGAAGCCCAGAAAGCAGGGTTTTAATAAGGAGGCTTTGGAGGCCGATGCCTGCTGTGAACCTGCACAGGAGGCTGAAAGGGCCAGCGGGACTTAGGTGCCTGGGACTAGGTTTCAGGGGTTTGGGGAATTAATGAACAAGTGGGTCAACAGTCTGGAAACATTTGGGATTCAAGGGGGTGGGGGTCAGGGAGAGTCCGCGATCGAGGCTGGAACAGACACAGGCACGTTTAAATGCTGCCTTCTCGGAAGGAAGACTCCGAGAAGCAGGCAGAGGACCTGGTTCCCTGGGGCAGGTGGGGGAGGCGGTGGGCAGGGGCAGGAGCACAAACTCCAGGGTAGGAGGCTGCATCTTCTCCAGGTGGAAGGGGCTTCTGCCCCAAACCGGAGGTAGCAGGCCGCCTGGGTCCGGATCCGCAGGAGCGTCCCACAGCGGCTTACCCGCCTCTTCCCTCACTGCCTCCACGGGGCCCGCTCTCGACCCCCGCTCGGACTCCCCCTCCCTCTCCAGGTGCTCCCCGCTGGCCCAGCCCGAACCTGCAGCTTCTCTCTATCCCAGCCCGGCTTCCAGCGCTGCCCCAGCCGCTCCCGCCGGCCTCCCGCCCCGCCCAGGTGCTGCTGCGGGCCCCGCCCCGTCCCCGCCCACGCCACGCCCGCCCCACTGGCTCCGCCCCACTCCCGCCCACGCCCCGGCCAGGCCGGCTCGATGGCCCCGCCCCGTTCCCGCCCCACCTGTGTCCCCGCCCCGTTCCCGCCCACGCCCCGCCCAGCCCGCTGGCCCCGCCCCGTTCCCGCCCACGCCCCTCCCCACCCGGCCCGCTGGCCCCGTCCCGTTCCCGCCCCGGCTGCGTCGGCCCCGCCCCCGCCGGCGTCTAGGGCTCGGCCCCCTCGGCTTCTGCGTCCGCTATTGGGGCAGACGGCTGCCCGTCAGTGCCGTCCCCTGGCTGCTCCGGGAAAATCCACGCCGGCATCCGGACAGGCGGGTTCCGGTGGGTGCTGGGTGCTGGGGCCTGGGGCCTGGGTGCTGGGTGCTGGGACCTGGGGCTGCGGTGAGCTGAGCACGCCCGGCGGCCCAGAGGTAGCATCCGAGCGGGGAAGGCGGGGTGGGCGCGGTGGCCCGGACCCGGGGAGCACGGTGCCCGAGTGGGCCTGGGCCCCGCCCCTCCTCTGGGCCCCGGGCGGGCGACGTGGGACTCGGGGGGAAGGCGGTTGCGAGGGAGGGAGGGAGGGAGGGAGGGAGGGGTCCGTCCGCAGACTCCGCCCGCGTCCCCTCCTTTCGCGAGGTCGAGGCCAGAGGGTCCCCAGGTGGCGGCCCGCCCCGCCCCGCCCCGGGGAAGAGCAGGGCAGCGAGGGCTGCAGACCCGGGAAGAGCTGCGGCGCCCCCGCGGGAGCAGGCGGGGGGCGGGGGCTGCGCCGGCCTGCGTTGGGGGCGTCTTGTATTGACTGCGCGTGGCAGGCCTTGCCCAGGAAAGCGGAGCAGGTGGCTAAACTCGGCACCTCGGGGAGAGCCCTAGAAAGCCGTCCAGGGCTCGCGCCCCTGCGGACGAGCCGGTGGGCTCCCTGGAGGAGGGGACGCCGGCCCAGGGCAGGAGCAGGACAGTCCAGCACCTTGTGGCGAGCGGGGACTGTACAGCCTGAAGGCAGGCCCACGCCCGAGGGACCCTTGGCAGAGGGGCTTCTGGTGCCGGGATGTCAACAGGGCTTGACGTCCCAACGTCCAGATGAGGGGGCTGGACTCTCCCCAGAAAGGGGGCGCTGAGGGCCAGGTGCTGCCACGACAGCGACCCCTGGCAGGATGGAGTTGGGTGTCGGCTGGTTGGAGGGGAGGGCACCCCGAGGTCGGCCGGCCGGCCCTGAGGACGGAGCTGTCCCAGGACGCCAGCCAGAACCGCAGCCTCGCTCTGCAGCAGGACCGCCCCTGGCTCTGCCCCAGCCCTGAGGGGCCTCCTTGCTTCCCTCCTTCCTGGGCAGGGATTCAGACTTGCCTTGCTTGCGTCTGTCTCCAACCCGGGACCGACCCCAGAAAGCAGAATTAAATGCCCTAATTAACCCGCCTTAATCTCTTCTGCTTCACTGTCCTGAAGTTGGAAAAGCCTTAGCGAACTCGGGTCTGCGCATCTTTGCTCACGCAGTAACCTCAGAGCCCAGCGCCCCTGTGCCGAGAAGCAAGCATTGAGGATTATCTGTGCACTTCGGTGCCACCGGCCCTTGAGCTCTGCCCCACTGCCACACATCCCGGAAACCCAATTTGTCACCTTCAGCCCTACTAACGTTTGGGGCCAGGTAATTTGTTGGGGAAGGGGCTGTCCTCTGCAGTCTAGGATATTCAGCACTCCCGCTTTCTGCCCACTAGATGCCAGCATCACAGGTTTCCCTGCCAGATGTGCCCTGGTGGGACAAAATGACCCCCAGTTGAGAGCCACTGGCATAAGCAATCTTAAAGTCGCATTGGGGTGTGGCCTCCTGAAGGAGGACTTGGTATACGTAACCTCCAGAAGGCTGAGGCCAGCGTCGGGATGTTTTGTGCACAGCTTGCCAAGAAAACAAGCTGTCCTACGTAGGGAGGTACACCTGGGATGGTAGCCTGGGACAGAGAGTTCAGGAAGTTGTATTTAGGGAAGAGTAGGGATGCAGCCAAGGCCTTCATTTCTTCCCCAGAGTTGATTAAAGGGATTTCTGGCAGGATCCCAGTGATGGAGGCTCTAATGGTGGTGGTGGTGGAGACACACACACACACACACACACACACACAACTGGCACCATTGCCATCCTTCATCCTGCCCTGCCGGGCTCTTGCAAATGATGTGGGGCTGTCCTTGGAACTGTTTGCAGCTATGTCCCCTCTGCAGCGCTCTGCAGACCCCAAGAACAGAGACTCAGGGGGCAGGGCCTGTCTCAGAGGCTGCTGCCCTCCCCACCCCCGTGACTCCAGGCCTATGGCTCCTGCCCGAGGCTGCTGCTCACCCTTCTCCTTCCTACTCAAGAAACCTGTGTTGCCATGTGCCCTGTTCCTGGGCCTTGCCCAGGGTCTCCTCCTGGCACTGCCCCTGTGCCCACCCTGGTCTGCCCCTCGCCTGTCCTCTGGGTTGGCAGCTGGCCCTGCCCTGTTCCTTCCTCACAGTGATCGGCCCCAGGAGGGCTGGCCAGGCTGCTGTGTCCTGCTGCTGTGTTTTCAGACAACACTGGAGGAACAAGCTCTAGTGGGTGGGAGGAGGAGGTGGGGGTGGCTGGGTGGGGGTAGCTGAGGGGAGTCTCTGGCTCCCCTCTGCACACCAGACCTCACCTCGGGGATCTTGCTTTGCACCCCATGCCCTTATGTGCATGCCGCCCCTCACTTCCTGGGTGAGCCACCCATGGGTGCCCGAAGACCCACCTGAAATGTGTCCCTTGGGATGTGTTCGACTCCTGACTCCGGTGTTCTCACCTGGATCCCCCCTGACTCCTGCCTTGTCTGTCTCTCCCCCCGTCGGACAGTCAGACGGACCGTTCTGCTGGCGGGCACCTGCCTGAGGCTTCTGTGTCTGCTGGCTCCCTGTGACGGGGCCTGGCCCCGGGGACGCTGAGTTGCTTATTGCAGGAATAAAGCAGAAGGGCCAGTGTGCAGGAGGGGGCGGGCCTGGTGGTCCCTGAGCGGCACAACCCCTGCGTGCAGTGTTCCCTCCTCTGGGATGTGGAAACTTCTGGAGGAGGGGATTTAAATGTTGGTTGCCTTTTAGCTCCCAGTGTCCCCCGTAGAGAGGCTGGCATCGCCCTGGTGGAGCAATTCCTTGGTTTTGAGCAGGGAGGAATGTTTCTCAGGATTTGAGGATTTGGGAGGCAAGGCAATCAGAATGTTGAAGAGAGGCCGGAGGCGGCATCAGCTGGACATCCCGCCTGTGCTGCTGGCTCTCCTGGTGGCTTCTGGGTTTGTTTCCTCCTCAAGGTGGGATGGTTCAGCACATGGAAGCGCATGTGTGGAGGCCCTGCCATGGCTCAGGCCTGCTGGGCCATGGGATACAGAGATGAGGGCATCCTGGAGCCTGTCCCTGGGTAGGGGATGGGTCTTGGTGGTAGATCAAGTGGCACTGTCCAAGGGGCCTGAGTGCCATGGGGGTTGAGAGCCGGTCTGTTGGGGGAGCACTTGGGCCTCTCTCAGGACCTGGGCCAGGCTGGCCTCCTGAAATTTGCACACTGGAGCCCATGAGGCAGTGGGAGAATGGGCCAGTCTTCCTGACAGGCCGGCCAGGGACACCACAGGCTTTGGACAGACGTGTCATCGAGCCTGCAAGCACTGGCTTGCCCAGGTGCTGGGCAGGTGGTTGTAAGACACAGTCTCTGTGACTTTCAGATTAAAGAGGCAAGTAAGCCAGCCTGGAGGGGTGAGTGGAGCTGGAGAGGAGGGGCCCGTGCTCTACTTCAGTTAAGGCAACCGTCAGTCCTAGGAAAGTCAGGAATATCGAGTAGTCTTAGAACCCAAAGGCTGAGTAGGGTGGTGGGGTGCGGAGGTGGAAAGTGAGGGCCTCTGAGCCAGAGAGGGGACTAGAGTCTGATGCCCCGAGTGGACCACATGCCTCCAAGAGTCCAGTTCTGACATGAAGCTGGGCTGACATCTCAAATCCTTCCCCTCCCAGGTGCTGGCAAGACCTTCATCCCTTCCAGCCGTTTAGGTAAGTCATGGGCCTCGTCAGGTCACACACCTTCGGGTTTTCCAGAAGTGCAAAAGTCCATGAACTTTGGCAGGAAGGACCTTATCTGAGAATGAATAATAGAATCATTAGCGTGCAGTTTTATACATCTACCATTTTCAGGGCTTGGACAGAATAACAAGATTAGGGGCACGGGGAGCATTGTATGACAAGCTTTTCAGTGACTTGACAAATTAACACAGATTCTGAGTCTTGAATCTCCCTGGTGGGGGTGGGGAAATAGGAATCTAAATACTTTTAGCTAAAGTCGTCAGTGATTTACCAGCAACACATGGGAAGCTGTGACAGGACAAAACAAAAGCAAGACCACGCCGTACAGACCAAGGTCAGGTCTTGTGCAGGCTCGGGGGGCAGGAGGGCCTCCTGGTAGATGTGAACATGCGGGGCTCCTCCCAGTGATGACTTAGCTCCTCTGTTCTTTGTGCTTCTGCGAGAAAAGTGATGCACACACCCAGTCACCGAGGGGTACCCAGCCCAGTCCAGACTGAGCACCCCTCGTGGGAGCCTTCTAAGAAGGCAGGCCTCAGCCCCAGGTGCCCGAGCCTCCTTGCGCAGCAGCTTAGAGGGCAGCCCTGAGCCCTGAGCCCAGCCCTGCTGGTCTTCAGCTGGCGGGCATAGACCTCTCCCGTGCGGCTTCTCTGGGCGTGGCTCTGGCACACTCAGTGCCGACAGCACGGCCTCGCGGTCCGTAGAACATACCCTGTTCACAGCTACGTCAGTGACAATAGTAGCTGCTTGTCCCTTTGCTTTGCACTCTGCTGTTCTCCTTCCGAGTCAGTGGGTATCAAAAATCAGGTAACAATGGCTTGGGTCCTACACCGTCAGCTGTTTGCTTGGTTGGGCCGTGCCCCTGGAGAGGACCAGGCACCAGCTGGTGTGGCCCCGTCTGTTTCAGAGACGAGGAGAGCCTCCCGCAGGCTGGCCCTTGAGCCCAGGGCTGGAGGTTCTCCTTGGCCGTCATGCTGCTGAGAAACTCGAGGAGTGGAAGCATTTGGATCAGGTGGCTGTGAGGGGCAGCCCCAAACCAGGCTGTGTGAGCCCCCCTCCAGCTGTCTTTGCAAGTGCACTGCGGTCCCTCTTTGAGTCCCCACCGGAGTCCTCCTGTGCGGGGCAGATGGGCCCCCCTGCCAGGAGGGCTGGAATAAAAGAAGATAGAGAAGTAATAGTAGCATCGAGGAGGGTGTGGAGAAATTGGAACCCTCCTGCTTTGCTGCTGGGAATGGAAAATGGAAAACTGTTTGGTGGCTCCTCACGAATTAGGTATCCGATCACCATATGACCCAGCAACTCGGTTCCCGGGTATGTACCCCGCAGTGCGAAAGCAGGGACTTGAGGAAGTGTAGGTACACCGTTTGTAGCCGCCCGACTCGTAATACCCAGTAGGGAGAGACAGCCCAACTTCCAACAGCAGATGAATGGTAAACCCAGTGCGGGCTGCCATTTACCAGTTTCCTGCAGCCCCATGGAGTACTGACGTGCCACGGCGTGGATGGGCCTCGAAGACCAGACACTGAGGGAAAGAGACCAGGCCCACAAGCCCACGGATTGTGTTGTTCTGTGTATACAGAATGTCCAGAACAGGGACACCCATGGACACTGCACATTGGTGGCAGCCAGGGGCTGGGTGAGGGGACAGGGGGACCACTAATAGGGACGAGGTTTCCTTGGGGGTGACGAGGATGTTTTGGAACCTGGTAGAGGTGGGGGTTGCACAGTACCGTGAATGCGCTAAATGCTGCTGAGTGGTTCATTTAAAGTGGTTAGTTTCATGGTAAGGGAATCTCTCTTCAGTAAGAGGAAGGAAGAAAAATCCGAACCGTGCCCCGTTTCCCTTTGGGGTTTCGATCAGCCAGGTCTTGGGAGGCCTGGGATGGCCTGCCCTCCCCTTCCCTGTGCCCTGCCCTGACCTGGTGGGAGGATGCACCCTCCTGGGCGGTGGGAGAAAGTGCTCGTCTCTCCAGCAGTTTCACCAATGTCAGCTTCTAGGTGAAGTCTAAGGACTTCCAGAAGGAACAAGTCCTAGCACTTGGCTTCTTAAGACGTTTCTTTTTCGTCTCTGACTGTGCTTTTCTGTTTGACTCCCGGATCTGACTGCACTTGACCCTTTTCTGTAATGAGGTCTGTAACGATGGACGAGGCCCCCGGGTGCCCATCTCTGTTACTGTCCTTTGAGGGTCACAGGCACCGTCTCAGCCCTTTGCTTTGACTGACTCCAGTGGAGGGCATGATGATGCCTATTTTACACAGGTGGACGTGGCGGCGTGGAGTTTCCGTAGCCTGCCCCAGCCCGCACAGCTGGCAGGGGGCAGAGCCAGGGTCCCAGGAAAAAACTTGTGCAGTCACATGTTTGCTTTGTGGGTCGTATTTTCAAGGTGTCGATTTTATTCCAACATGTGTGATCATCCAGCCTTATAGACTTTTTTCAAGTGAGGTTTTGAAAATAGGAGTATTTAGATTAACATACTAATTTTTCTACTTCTTAGTTACATTACGGTAGGAACTGTGTTTTCAAATAAGTCCAGACTGCTTGGCAGGCATGAGCATGCCCGGGGAGACCCCGAGGTTGGGGGCTGGTTTTCCCACGGGATTTGCATCAACTCCATGACTTAGCTCTGATGAGTTCGGGTGGCCTTTTGCAGCTAAGTCAATATGGATCAACTGACCCTGTATAATTAGCAACATTTATTCTTCTATGACGACTGCATTTTGACCTCTCTAACTTGGTGTCCTTCGCAGAGAATTGTGCCGGATACGAGGAGGGATGGGGAACGTCAGAAGCCAGTTGGGGCAGAAGTTTTGTTCCCAGTTTCTCCCTGAGGAGCAGGCCGAGATTGATAGACTGTTTGATGCTCTGTCATCGGAGAAGCACAGCTCAGACACCTCGCCCCGATCCTTCTCTCTGAAGGCGCTAAAGGCAAGAGCAACAGGTGGCAGCTAGTGTGCGGTGCTGGGCTGGTGCTGGACACTGTGGCCCCAGGCCCGAAGCGGCTCTGTGTCGATGTCTGTCACACATACGGCAGCACCTCGCAGCTCATTCTCTGTACAGGGCCCATGGTCTGCCTTTTCTGCCTCTCAGGCTGTGGGATCTGTTGCAGTGGTTCGGCCTTTGTAGTACGGTATTTTGGGGGACACTTCTAACTTGAGATCAACCAAGGGGGCCAGCCCTGCATGTCCCATCTCTTAAACCTTGGTCCCCTGATTTCCCTCTGAGATCGGGTGATAGGCAGCCTTAGCGGAGTTCCTGGGTCTGGTCACCACAGTCTCAAGTGTACCTTGCCTTTAGATAAATTTGTGTTTGATGCCTAGAATTTTTATGGTACTCCTTTTTTTTTTTTAAGATTTTATTTATTCATGAGAGACACAAAGAGGCCGAGACACATGCAGAGGGAGAAGCTCCCTGCGGGGAGCCCAATGTGGGGCTCATCCCAGGACCCCAGGATCAGGACCTGAGCTGAAGGCAGATGCTCAACTCATGAGCCACCCAGGCAGCCCTAGATTTAAATTTTATTTTTATTTTTATATTTTTTTAAAAGATTTATTTATTCATGATAGAGAGAGAGAGAGAGAGAGGGGGGGGGGGGCAGAGACACAGGCAGAGGGAGAAGTAGGCTCCATGCCAGGAGTCCGACGCAGGACTCGATCCTGGGACTCCAGGATTGCGCCCTGGGCCAAAGGCAGGCGCTAAACCGCTGAGCCACCCAGGGATCCCCTAGATTTAAAATTTAAATAAAGCTTAAGTAAAAATACATATTAAACACAAAGACCTTGGGTAAGAAGAGCTGGCTCCTCTCTAGAGAAGCTCTGCACAGACATCTGTTCCACATGTTAATAAATTCGGACAGGCACGTGGCAGCTGTTAGTCTAGAATGAAGAAGGCATAAGCAGAGTGAAGAGCCAGCAGTGGCCAGAGACAGGAATGATGTCACCAGTTTGGGGCGGGGGACTGCAAGGTTTGGAGGGTAGGATGGAAGAGTCTGATGGCCAAGATGAGCCACAAGCCGAGACACGTCAGGCCTGTGTGTTTTTTGGGTGGTGTGATGCCCTTGGGTGGAGGGGAGGGGATACATCTGGGGTGTAGGAAGGTTGAGTGCTGGGGGAAGCATCCGGGAGCAGCTGTGCTCTGTCTTGGTCCCTGGTCCTTTCCCTACAATCTTACCACATGTAGCTCAACCCTGTCCAGCCTTCTCTCCCACTTGTCCCCAACAGAGCCACATTGGGGAAGCTCTTCCCCTGGAGATGGTCACCAGACTGTATGATGGCATGCGGAGGGTCGACCTGATGGGGAAGGCAAAGGGGCCCAGCGAGAGCATCTCCCGCGAGCAGTTCACAATGTCCATGTCCCACTTGTTGAAGGGAAACTCTGAGGAGAAGAGTCTTATGATCCTGAAAATGATTTCTGCCACAGAAGGTCCTGTGAAAGCAAGAGAAATCCAGAAGGTAGAGTGGCCACGGGGCCCTTTGCAGCCATGCCACGCAGCCTTGGTGTGCTGGGGGAGGTGGGAAGCAGCTAGTGGAGGTGCATGGAGATGCTCCCTTGGGGTCCCTAGGCCACTGGTGAGGTCAGGACTCCTGGACAGAGGCCTTGGCGAAATAGAGCTTGAACACCCACCTAAGTAGTGTCATCTCTAATCATGTTGTGGCCCGTTGGTCGGCATTGAAAAGATAAAGCCCCCTTCCCTGTGTTGATAGGATGTAGGTCATGAGTCGAAGTAGAAATGTCACTAATGGGAAAATTGTGGTCCTGCAGTTTACAGAGGATCTGGTTGGCTCTGTGGTGCATGTGCTCAGCTACAGACAGGAACTGAGAGGCTGGACCCCGAAGACAGGCCTGGGTCCCCCACCCAGGGTGCAAGTGCTAGCTGCCCAGCTCTTCTCCGAGATGGACCTTCGAGGCAAGTGCCCTGTGTGCTCACCCACTGAGACCTTGACGCGTAGACTGCTACCACGTGGTCTTGGTCACTGTGAGCTTATAGTGAAGTTTCGAGATCCGTAAACATGAGTCCTCCAAATTTGTTGTGGATTATCTAGTTGGTTGGCCATGAAATATGCCTCAGAGTAAATTGAAAAGGACTGAAATCGTACAATGTTCTTCAACCACAGCAGAAAGAAATTATAAATCTGTAACAAGAGGCATTTGGGAAATTCACAAAGATGCATAAATTAACGTAATCATTCCGAGTGTCCCTTGTAATCCTGATTCTGCAAGGTCGGTAGTGATGTCCCCACTTTCATTTCTGATCTTAGGCATTGGAGACCTTTTATTTTCTTGATCAGTCTAGCTGAAGGTCTATGAGCTTTCGGTGGATGTTTTCAGAGAGTTAACTCGATACGGTGGTTTTTCTCGGTTACTTCCTTCCTCTCCACCCTAGTCTTCTTTCTTCCTGGTTGCTTCACATTTAGTCTGGTCTACTTTCTCTAGTTTCCTAAGGTTGGAGGGTCGGTCATCGATTTGAGATCCCTCTTCTTTTTCTATGTAGGGATTTACGGCTATACGGTCCCCTCTAACCACTGCTTTAGTCGAACCCTGTAAGTTTTGTTGTGTCGCGTCTATGTGTTCATCCCTCTCAGTATTTTCTAACTTGTGATTCCTCCTTTGGTCTCTTGGTTCCTTAGATGCATGTTACTCGGCTTCTCCGTGCTTGTGAATTTCCCAACAACAGTTCTGTTGTTGATTTATAATTGCTTTCCACTGTGGTTGAAGAACATACCTTGTATGACTTCAGTCCTTTTAAATTTACCGAGGTGTGCTTCATGCACCAATGTGTGGTCTGTTCCAGTCAGTGTGCATGTGCCTTTGAGAATAATGTGTATTCTGCTATCATTGGATGAGAAAGCATATACGTTGGCATTTATGTGGGACTTAAAAATACCTATGGTGAATCTCTTTGCAAAGTAGATTTGTTTTATAAAAGCATTATTTTATTGTAAAGCTTGATTTTAAATCTTATCTTGTTATATTTTACTTATTTGAGAGAGAGATAGCAAGAGAGAGCACGAGCGAGGAATGGAGGGAGAAGCAGGCTCCCTGAGAGCAGGAAGCCTGACTCAGGGCTCGATCCCAGGACCCCGAGAGCATGATCTGAGCCAAAGGCAGATGTTTAACCAACTGAACCACCCGAGTGCCCCTGTAAAGCTGGATTTTAAAATCCAGTTGGGAAAGAGGTCCTATGTCAAAAATCAAGTGATAAATTTGGAACTTGGTAGGAGAATAACATAATATACGTAAAAATATCAGTAGTCGGCCTTCTGGTATTACCATCCTGTCACCTCCTTTCTTGGTGGGTAAGAGATAGAAAACAGGACTATAAGAGGGGGTCAAGCACAATTCATAGTTAATGAACACTTTTTTCCCCAGATAAACAGTGGCAGTGGGGGGTGATTAATAAGTTACCAGGCACTACTCTGACTTGCCTGGAGAATGTCACACTTCTAGGTCCTTTCAAAATGGCGGTGTTGGGTGGAAGTCCTGGAAGGGTGGTTTTGGTGTGGCTCTCAGGAACACCTGCTTAAGGCTTCAGAGCCGGGCCCACGGGTGAGGCCTGGCTGTCTCCTGGGCCTCTGCACTGCAGCTTGCAGAGGAGACAAAAGATAGATGTGGACATTGAGTTGTTGACATCCGTGCAGGCACCAATGCAAGCCACATGTGAAACTTTAAATATTCTGGTAACCACATTGAAAGAGTAAAAAGAAGGGTGCGTGGGTGGCTCAGTCAGTGAAGCATCTGCCTTTGGCTCAGGTCATGATCCCTGAGTTGTGGGATCGAGTCCCACGTTGGGCTCCCTGCTCAGCGGGGAGTCTGCTTCTCCCTCTTCATCTGCTTCTCCCCCTGCTTGTGCTCTCTCTTTCTCTCTCAAATAAATAAATACAATTTTAAAAAAAAAGGTAAAAAGAAACAAGGGGAATTACTTATAATACATCCAAAGCATACTTCAGTATCCGTAATCAATACAAAGTGATTGAGCTCTTACACCTATTTTTTCATGCCAAAACTTTGAAATTGGGTGTCTATTTGATACTTGCACGGCTCTGTTCAGACCAGCCACATGTCAAGTTCTTAGGACCTCGCGTGGCTCACATGTTGGGCGGCACAGGTGTGGGTCATGGATGTCAGGTGATGCAGTGGCCAAACCGATTGTGTTTGTTCCTCCCCCAGGTGGTGAGAAGCTTCCGGGGCCTCAGCAGCTGGACTGTGAGTGTGACCTAGCCATGGTCGAGGCCTGGGTGTTCAGGGTCCCCCATGTAGCCACGTTTCTGAGTGTGGTCATCCACAGAGGCTTTCTCCTGCGTTTGCCCCTCGATCTGGCCACGCTTGTCCCTGAGCGTCACGTTGACCAGGAGAGGGTGTTTGAGAGTGTCCTGGACATCCTGTCGGTCATCTATATCAACTCCCACCTGCCTAGGGAGCAGCGGCACCGCTGGCGTCTGCTCTTCTCGTCCAAGCTTCACGGGCACAGCTTCACCCAGCTCTGTGGGCACATCACCCAGCAGGGCCCGTGCATCGTGCTGGTTGAGGACCATGATGGCCATGTGTTTGGTGGGTTTGCATCCTGTTCCTGGGAGGTCAAGCCTCAGTTTCAAGGTGAGACTTGGTCCCCAAAACCACATGCGGTAGCACGGTGCTCATTAAGAGTTTGGCCTGTGGCTGCTGCCTGGGAACCCCTGAGCCGACCCAGGGCGCAGTGTCCAGAGGCTTTCTTCCACCTCTTTGGGGTGCTCACCTGGACACGGTCGGGAGGACAGGAGGAGGAGATGCTGCTTTGTGTGGTCTAGTGCATTGGGGGTTTCTTTGGTGATTCTGGCAACAGAGGAAGGCACACAGGACAGGTTTCCTGACCCTGGATGTCAGGTGAGGAGGCAGCGGCTTGGCATTAGGCATTATTTTAAACCATAGTGGGTCCAGGCCACGGGGGAGGCTGGGCTGTGGGTGCTTCAGCCGCTCCTGTCCGATGGATGTCTCTCGTCATGGGCCGCCCCTCATTCCTGGACAGCCTGTTTCCTGCAAGTGCGTCTGCTTTGCTGTGTCCTGCTTTCCCTTCTGCCCTGGTTTTCCAGACCTGTGATTTTTTTTGCAATTCAAACACTCATCGTGTGACTTTCAATGCACTGGATGAAAGTCTTTGAAGCAAATTCTTCCCCTTCCTTAAAGAAACGTGCTCTGATGAACATTTTTAAAGGATCATTTATCTCCTGGGCAGTGGGCTGTTCTCCCCAGAGATGCACCTGCCTTCCCAGGGTCTGATGTCCCCGCATGTGCCTTGGGTGTGGTCCTGGCTGCCCAAGCCTGGTCCTCAGTAGGTCTCCCCACCTGTGAGATGGGGGCATTTCCCAGAGGCTGAGAGACCCGATGTACCTCTGCCCTCGTGCCCAGGAGCCAAGTGGTTAATCCTCTAACTGGCTTTGTTCCTAGCTGTGACAGACCAATGCCATGTGCTCCTCAGGAATAGGGACTGCGAGTCTGAACCAGAGGGTCCTCTGTTCCGTCCCCACATCTCTCCACACAGTTCCCACCGGTGTTGCTGTGGGGACCTCCTTATCAGCCTCCTGGTTTGCATCTCGCCTCCAGTCCATTCACCACATCCCAACATGTGTGACATTGTGCTCTTCTCCTGAGACCCGTGAATGCTGCCCGCTGGAGGTGCGCCTCCTATCTCTGGCCTCATGACCCACACCTGTCGTCTGGTGCTCCGTGCTCAGTCTCCCCAAGGCTACCTGCAGGCTGTGATTCATTCTCAGACTTGGCACATGCTACTCTTCTCTCCCCCCTGACCTGTTTGCATGACCAGCTCCTTTTTAGGACTCATCCCAATGTCACCTCCTCCAGGAAGCCTTCCTAAACACAGGAGGGCTGTGTGCACTCTGAGTGTCCTCTGTCATTCTGCACACCTATGCACACCTTCCCTCTCCTAGGCAAGCTTCTGGAGGCTGTGTCCAGGTGCAGAGGTGACATTACTCAGGAGATTTTAGTAGCAGCAGGGTGGCCATCTGCCTGGGTTGCATGAAAGGAATCATGAGCTGAATCTCTGAGATCCTGTTGTTTCTAGGATTTGGTTTTCTCTAAGACTTCAGAATGTTCTAGATCTTTAATCCAGTTGCTGCTACTAGCCCTTCCCCACTGTGTCCGGGACCCCCAAGGCCCCCCACATGTCAGCGACTCCCTAGGAGGACCTGCAGGACTCAGGCTACAGTCTCACTCGTGGCCGTGATTTATTACAGCAAGAGGACACAAAACAAGATCAGCTGAGGGACAGGTGCCAGTTTCCAGAGCCCTCTCCCAGGGGTCACACAGGACACACTCAATTCCCCAGCAGTGTTGTCTACCAGCGATGCTCGTTAGGGACTCAACACCCAGGGTTTTCCTGGGGGCTGGTCATGAGAGCACCCTCTGCCTCATGTGCACATTCCAGAGTCCCGGGATGGAAGCAGATGTTCTGCATCAACCACGTCGTTTGCACAAACCGTGTCAGGACAGGGAGCCCCTCTTACCAGTGCTGAGAGTGGGGACCCTCCCCAAATCCAAGTTCCCAGATGCCTGCCCAGGGAGCTTCCTTGGGGCCGAGTCTCAGTCCTGCTGGGTTAACTTGCTTCTGCAGCCCCCCTCCTTGTCATGGGGCCTGGGGGAATGAATGAGGCATCCTCCCCCAGGTTGGAGGCTCTGCACTCGGGTACACATCTGAGAGTTGTCCTAACAGGCGCGTGGCCGCCTCTCCCAGCTCTCTGGTATTCACTGCAGGCCGGCTCTGTGGGCTTAATAGGATATTAAGAAGCAGTATTAGTCTCCCCGAAGGTCAGTGGAAAACCACCATTGGCAGGTTTTCAGACTGGAGCCCATGCGGTCCTGAGACACGAGAGCAGAATCCCAGCAGAGGGCAGCCTCGCATCACAGATGCGGTCAATATTCAGCCCTCAGTGGTTCCCGTCCTTTTGTTCTGGTTTGTTCTGGAAGCCATCCTAACCTTGCAGACTTGACGGGGAGTCCCTTCCTTTCTGCTTAGGTTTCTGCAGCCGCAGTGCAAAGACCCACGGCTTCGGGCTGAGCAGACATTCTCTAGAGCGCCGGGCAAGGGGCCCAGGTCCCCACAATTGTGCCAACTGGTGCTGTGTGGGAAGGCAGCTCGGGCACGCTGCCGCTGGCTGGCGGGCATCGTTGATGCGTGCTTGTCTGCACTCTGGTCACTTTCAGGCGATGACACTTGCTTCCTGTTCTCCATCTCCCCCCACATGGCCGTGTACACGTCCACGGGTTACAACGACCACTACATGTACCTGAATCACAGGCAGCAGACCATCCCGAACGGACTGGTAAGAACCCAGGGAGACCAGGGGCCGCCCCTCCTTTGTGGTGTCCTTCCCACAATGGGGTCCATCCCACGCCCGGCCTGGCACTTGCCCCGTACGTGGGGGGAGCTGTAGGCCCTTGGCTTTGTGCCTGGGCCATTCACTTCCGTCTGCCTGGGTCTCCGTGCCGTGGCCAGTGACAGCTGGGACAGAATTTTCTCCTGCAAGGTCAGGCTCTGCTGACACATGTCCATGGTTTGGGTGCAGATGGTGGATTTGGCCACTTTTCCTGTGGCCTTTGTGACTGGAGCCCAGATTTGGGCTCCCCAGGCCCATCAGGAGTTGTCAGTGGGTGACTCACAGGACTGGGGCTCCCGTCAGGGTGGGTGCACCTCCCACCTACTCTGTCTGCAGCCTGGAGACTTAGCCATGGGAGGAAGATGATGGGGAGGGGTGCTGGGATGGATGCTCCCGCCTGTGCCCCACCCACACCTTTGAGCCGGCTTTGTGTGGGTGAGAAGTGGGTCTCCTGCCAGCACCCTAGCCTGTTCCTTTTCTCTGTTGCTTAGCACAAAGTGCCTTTTGGGAAATTCCAGCTCTGTGCTTGTAGAGGAAGGCTGGTCCACCTTGTCAGGGTGGAGGGGACCCCGGTGCTCCTTCCCAGGCTCACTGTAGGCTCCTGCGGGGCCATCTGAGGGCCCCAGACACCTCCCAGAAAGGGCAGTTGGGTGGCCTCAGGAATATAGTCCCCAGTAGGTCCTCAGGAATCGCCAGTCATCAGCCCGAGGGAGAAGTAGCCCTGAGAGTCAGCATTTCTGCTCTGGTCTCTTGCTCAGCCTCCGTCCCCATCCTGCCAGGGGCCCAAGAAGGCAGCGGTGGAGGTGGCATTGGGGAAGGTCATCGGGAGGCTGAACAGTGGTTCTGTCTCGCTGGCCGCAGCCTAGTGTGACAGGCGGTGGAGACACTGGGTGTGAGTCGCCCCAGGGTCTGCTCCCCGTTTCTTGTCCCTGCAGGGTCAGCCTGGGCTGAGTAAGACAAGTACCCTTGTGTGGGGAGAGCGGGGAGAGTGGGGCGGATACAGGTTTTTAGGGTCAGGATCGGTGCTGACCTCTCCCCTTTTAGTTTAATGGTTCCAATCTCTAGGCCCTGGTCTGAGTTCAATTTCTCTTCTCTTCTCTTCTCTTCTCTTCTCTTCTCTTCTCTTCTCTTCTCTTCTCTTCTCTTCTCTTCTCTTCTCTTCGTTTTATTTATTCATGAGAGACACAGAGAGAGGCAGAGACATAGGCAGAGGGGAAGCAGGCTCTTCACAGGGAGCCTGATGTGGGACTCGATCCCAGGACTCTGGGATCATGCTCTGAGCCAAAGGCAGACACACAATGACTGAACCACCCAGGCATCCGTGAATCCTTTTTTTCTGTCCTCTGCTGTCACGTGTGCTCCCAGCCAGTGTAGCCTCAGGAGAAGGAGCCATGGGGTGGGCATCCGGACACCTCAGTGATTTATTTTAGTAGCTTGAGACGGGATGTTTACATTGCAGCCTCTTCTGTATGTTTCCAGTTTTTTTTTTTTTTTTTTTAAATCGAAAGAAAACCGTATCCACCTCTTAGCGGCCCTCCTGCCAGTCTGGTTCCGGAGGCTGATGCGGGCTCTGAGTGGCGTCAGAGACTGAGGAGATGCCGTGCTCTTCCCCCCACAGGGCATGGGAGGCCAGCATAATTACTTTGGGCTGTGGATCGATGTGGATTTCGGGAAAGGACACAGCAAGGCCAAGCCCAAGTGTACCACGTACAGTAGCCCTCAGCTGTCAGCCCAGGAGAACTTCAGGTTCGAGAAGATGGAGGTGTGGGGAGTGGGGGATGCCCCGGTGTTGCAGCAGGTGAGTTGGGGGGCACGGCTCCGCTGTTTCCATGCTCCCCTTTTACTCTTCCTTCTGGACGTAGCTTATCCTAAGTCTGGTCCCAGCAGCTGATGCTGGACAGAGATGCTGCTGGGTACGCAGTGGGGCTGGGAGTCCTGTCGGGGTCTGTGGGGTTTAGTAAAGCAGGGCCCTGCCCTAGGTGGGAACCTGGCAGGTGAGTGGCCCGTCTACAAGATGAGGAAGGTCTGGGGTTCCTCCTAGTTCCGAGGTTCTGCAGTGAGCTATTCTTGGACCCTCTGCACCTTGTGACCTCCCAACGACAGCACCCGGGGGGGGCAAGGGGCACCTCAGTGAGAGTGCCAGAGCCCCCAGTGTGTTTTCCTCGTGACGGCAGGAGGACATTGATTCTACCATCACGAGCTTGAAACCAGCATGACATCCCTGTTGGGCAGACGCTCACCGCGGTTCCCTTCTTCCCAAGGCCAAGAGCAGCAGGAGTGTCCTGGACAAGAATCCTGAGGCCCGGATCCTGCTGGAGGCCAGTGGGCGGAGTCGCCACAGCGAAGGGCTCCGGGACGTCCCGGATGGTGAATGAGGAGGTCCCCCTGAGCTTGGGCCTCCCGAGAGCTGGCCCCTGGCCCCCTGGATGGAGCGCAGCCTGCGGACCCCTCCCCATCTCACGTGTTCAACATAGGACTATACTGGTCACATCCAGGTGGTTCTGGATGTGCTGCATCGGAACACAGTAAAATTGCTTTGATGCTGTATGTGGATTGTGGGCGCATCTCCCAGAAATCCTGAGTGTCAGTTAGCAACTTAATCCTTGTATTCTGTCCGTTTCTCGTCAGTGAAATCCGAAGACACGGATGCTTGAGACCTCTGCTGGAGCTAGTGTCTGATGGGCAAGCGCATTCCTGCCACGCAGGAGAGGACTCTGCTGGGGGGGCGGGTCACCTGGCCCCCGCTCAAGCCACTGCAGTTAAAAAAAAAAAAGTGCCTCGATGTCCTGTTCCAACTGGTAAAGGGCAGAGGCACTGGGATGTGAGTCTCTGTGCTTTTGGGAGCAGCTTCCTATGACGTGGCATTTCTAGGTTTATATAAAAGCCTAAACTGTATTAATAGGAGGAATAGCTGAAGGCTTTGCAGAGAACAGGTGTCCTGGTGGCGGGGGTCCTCTATAGGTGTTTGTAATTAGGTTCCACATTTGCCTTTCTCGGCTGCTTTGAAATGAGTCCGTGCCATGATCTACAGAGGCTCCAGGTGGTTCTGTTGTTAATTTAAATGTGGGTAAATCGGAAGCCTTGACACGTCCTGTGGTGTGGATTAGTGGTGAGTAATTTGACAGTACTGGCCTGGGTTCCTGACCCTGGCGCCACCTCCTCGGTGTCGCCCTCTGGCCAGGTGGCCCCCCATAGTGCTGAGGGGTGATTTGACAGCAGAGACTCCCTTTAAACCAACTCGAGTGATCTGAGCGTGCAGACGATGACCTGGGTGTGTGTTCAAGGCTGGGCCGGAAGAAGCTCACCCCTCCATGAGAAGTCCCTCCTTCGCATTTGGAGCTGTGGGTTCGTCTCTAAGACATATGCCTCCCTTCTGGGGTCTTTCGCTATAAACTTTGGCCTTCTGCAGATCTGAGGACAATGCAGCCTTTTATTACAGAACTTGCCTGATCACGAGCCATAGTAAAGCTAGCTGCTTGCATTTTGCAGGTACTGTATTTTCTCCCAGGAAGCTCCTCAAACTTGGCCCTTAGCGGCATCCTGAGCAGAAGGCCTTGCAGTTAGCTTTCAAAAGAAAAGTGTGTCCCCAGACAGTAGGCAGAGGGGCAGCAGCCTGACCTATCTGGACTTAGTCATGGTTGATTTTCCTTCTAAAAAGCTGGTTTTTAATAAGCTGCTCGTTGAGGTTGTATGTTTCCTCTCAGCTGATAGGACAGCGGATATAAGGTGTGAGGATCCTCAGGTATCCTTACCATAAATCCAAAGAATTAGGTCGGTCCTGCACCTTCCATCTATTGCAGAATTTCTTTTGATAAAAATGCAAGTAAATACTTCACTAGAAATAGTCTGTTGGTATCTGTACCTTAAGTACCATTGCTGTCGCCTGTGTTCCTGGCTGTCGGAGAGGCTTCGCGTTTGCTCATGGGCACACTCTCTGCCTCGTGCTGGTTCCCATCAGAGGGCAGCGGACCAGTGGGCACCTGTTTCCCCAGATGGCACGTTCACACACAGAATGGCGGGGGCCCAGCCCAGGTGCACGCGAACCCAGGGGTGCAGCCCTCCTGGTGGACCTCTCAGCGCACAAATCTGTGGAGGGTGTCACTGCAGCGGGGGCCACTGGACCTGGCCAGCCTCCCTCCCCCGGGCCTGGGACACATGCAGTGCTGGTTTTAACAGTAAGGAGTTTGTTACTGGATGCAACAAAAGAGAATTCAGGGCCAATGGTTTCCTTGTGAGTGAAGACCACTGAGGGCTCCAGAAAGTGCTGGAAGGAAGAAGTGAAAGGATGGGGTCTATGGGGCAAACGTTGCTATTGTTACTTTTCCTCCTGCCATGTTTTCTTTATTAAAACATGGTGTATAGTAAAAAAAAAAAAGTTGAAATAGGAAGGCTAGAACTCAAAGAGAAATCTTCCTCTAGCTGTGTTATTTCCCAAGGAGCAAAGCCACTCATGAGAAAACCACTCCTGCCTGAGGGGACCCCTTGCACGCCCAGCATGAGTGTGTCTTCTGCACTCTACCCTGGTGTGTGCCCCGCTTGTTCTTGGTCACGGTGGCTTCACACATACCCATCAGTCTCCCTTTGACCTCACGGACTGCGCAGTGCCCTGTGGTGCGAATGCTCCGTGGTTTGGGGAACGTCATGACTGCTGCCACAGGCCCCTGGGTGTCTGTCTTGGTGTGATTTTTGTCGGGAAGAATCAACTCTTAGAAGTTGAATTGTTGGATCAAAAGATGCTGCTTAGCTTCGATCTGAGAAATGAGCAAACCTGAGTTCGGTTTATGCTCCTGACCTACCACCATGCCTGTTTGCCATAAAGATACCGATACTGTGTTAAAACCTAGTTGTTTTTTTTTTTTTTTTTTTTGTGCGGACCCGATATTTTCTCTGAGTGACCGTGAACCACTTCATTTTTCAAAAGCCATCTGTGTCCTACCCTTCACCTGGTTTTCTGGGGCGTGGGTTTTCTTCTTACCAGTTTGCGAGAGTGCTTTTTTGAATGAAGCAAAATAGTTTTTAACTTGTGTCCTAAGTATTTTTCCCACTTTGACCTTATTTTTCTATTTGTAAATTTTGCATTTTTGTCCTCCTTTTTTTTTTTTACCAGCATTTGCTCTTTTTTTTTTTTTAAGATTTTATTTATTTATTCAGAGAGACATACAGAGAGAGAGGGGCAGAGACACAGGAGGAGGGAGAAGCAGGCTCCATGCAGGGAGCCCGATGTGGGACTCAATCCAGGGACTCCAGGATCTCGCCCTGAGCCAAAGGTAGGCGCTCAACCCCTGAGCCACCCAGGCATTCCCCGCCCCTCCTTTAAAAAGATTTTATTTATTTATTCATGAGAGACACAGAGAGAGAGGCAGAGACACAGGCAGAGGGAGAAGTACAGCATTTCCTCTTAAGGCTTCTGATATTTGTGGTTATTTACCCACTGTGATTAAAAAAAAAGAAAGAAAATCAGGGCCCCTAGGTGGCTCAGTCAGTGAAGCGTCTACCTTCGGCTTAGGTTGTGATCCCAAGACCCTGGGGTCAAGCCCCGTTCGGCTCCCTGCTCAGTGGAGAAGTCTGCTTCTCCCTCTCCCTTATTTAAAATAAAATCTTTTTTAAAAAATCATGCTTGCTTTTATTGATTCTCTGCTTTCCATTTTTCCTTCTATATTTTGGTCCATTCAAAATGTATTTTAAAATGTACCTCTATCTTTCCCCCCCAAATAAATTCCAATATCTTTTATATATTAAACAGAATGTTTCTTTCCACCGACTTAAAGTACTGCTTTTGGGGCGCCTGGGGGGCTCATTCGGTCAAACCTCCGACTCTTGGTTTCGGCTCAGGTCATGATCTCAGGGTTATGAGATCAAACCCCACATTGGTCTCTTCGCTGAGCATGGAGCCTGCTTGGGATTCTTTCTCTTCCTCTCACCCCAAAGAAGGGGAGGAAGGGAGGACTGTTTTCTCATCCCCTGAATTTCTATATGAACTTCAGTTTCTGCCTCATGTTTTAAATTCTGGAGTTTTACAATAAAAAGGTTTAAGAGCTATTCCCCAATGATTTATTTGTTTTGGGATTTTCCTTCCCATGCTTGCCTGTTTATTTTCTCTGATCTTGGGTAATCCTTCTGAAAAGTTTGATGGTTGCATTTTAGAGATAGCATTAAATGTGGATCCGTGTAGGCAGAGCTGATACCTGGCAGGTGTGAATGGTTCCTGCCCCCAAGGATGGTAACGTCCAAGTCTGTAACATAGATTTTGTTACTGCTGGCACCGTACCTGGACTTTTCCCCCTGATGGTTGTTTGAACATAGGAAGGTTCTTGATTTTTCTACCTAGTTTTGTGCCCAGCCGCCTTGCTGAATTCTTTGGTCTGGGGGTTTTCAACCTTGGGTCTGCATCAGAATCCTCTGGAAGGCGTCCTTAAGGGCAGGTGGTAGCACTGGGAGTGAACATTTCTTGTGAATCCCCGGGCTCAGTGCAGCTGTATGCTTGGCTCTGGTGATTTCTCCTTTTTTCTCTCCAGCGTCACTGAGCTATAACTGATACAACATGTTGAGTTGCACTTACTATGGTGACGTATCTGGAAATGAGGATAATTTCCCTCCTTTTGCAATTTCTAGACTTTTTCTTTCTTTCTCTTGATGGATTATATCAGCAAATACTTTCAAATTTCAGAAGCAGTGACACACTCTTCCCACTCATGACTTTAATGGAAATGGGTCTGGTCTTTTTTTTTTTTTTTAAGATTTTATTCATTTACTCATGAGAGAGAGAGAGAGAGAGAGAGAGAGAGAGAGAGAGAGAGGTGTGCAGAGACACAGGCAGAGGGAGGAGCAGGCTTCCTGTGGGGAGCTCAATGTGGAACTTGATCACAGGACCCTGGGGTCAGGAGCTGAGCCAAACAAAGGCAGATGCTCAACCATTGAGCCACCCAGGTGCCCCAGGTCTAGTCTTTGATCATGGAGCAGGATGCTGGCTTTTCAGATAGATACTCATGTAAAGGAAGTATTTGTATTTATGTTGAGTTTCTGTCCAGATGTTGAATTTTCTAAAAAGTGGTTTATTTTTTTTAGTATCCATAGTTTTCTGATTCTTTTTTTTTTTCATAAGGAATACCAAATCAGTAGGGCTCCAGATACTGAGCCACGTGTATGTTAACTGCCACTCGAATGTGTGAATTCATTTGGACCGTGTTTGGTACTTTTGTAGCTGGGTGTACAAATGAGTTGGTCTGTAGTTTTGTTGGGTCTAATTTTATGTAAATCAGGCTTTAGTTGTAAAGTTATGCTGGCCTGGGATGCCTGGGTGGCTCAGTCAGTGGAGAGTCTGTCTTCCAGCTCAGGTCCTGGGATCAAGTCCCGCATCTGGCTCTCTGCTCAGTGGGGAATCTTCTTCCTCTCCCTCTGCCTGCCACTCTCCCTGCTTGTGCACATGTGCTTTCTCTCTCTTTCTTTCTCTTTCAGTCAAATAAATAGAATCTTTAAATTTTTTTTTAAATTGTGTTGGCCTTAGAAAAATAATTTAGAACTTCTCTTCTTTGCAGGATCTAGAAAAAAAGCAAATGAAAGTCCCTTAAAGTTTGGGTAAAACTCATCGGGAACTTTTGGTTTTGTGGGCAAGGAGGGGTGAACTCTTGATCACCTCATCCATGTCTTTTATCATCTGTGTGGTTTTAAATCTCTGTTGGGGTTCATTCTGATGATTTTTTAATTTCTTGATAAGTTTTTCATTTTATGTAAGCCTTCAAATTAATTTACATAGGATTGACCAAAATATGTGAAATTTTTTGTAGTTGTGGGTTTTAACTTGCTGTCCCTTTTCCTACATTATGTTGTACTAGTTTTGTTTTTTTTAGTTAATTTTGCTTTTATAGGATCTCCTCCCATGTGTCCGTTTCTTTTTCAAATTTGAGTTGTCAAATTACTCAATAAAGAAGAATGGAGGTAAATACATACATGGAGGTATTACTTTCTTCTTGGAGCTCCGCCTTCCTTGGCAGTACCCTGTCAATTGTGACAGATGTGCGTTCATGGTCAGCTTCTAGATTTTCTGGAGTTCTTATTCCAATCACCACTTAGACCCAAGAGTTCTAAAATTTTGGCATGCTGGACAATTTTCCTACAAATGGTGGTGTTGATTTTCAGATTTGCTGAACAGTGATTAGAAGAATTGAGATTTTAGTCGTGTCCTTACATGTGGCCTGCTAGTCTCCCACGGACTTTTCTGTATGTTTTCCTATGTTTTTCATACGATGCCCTATGAATTTGGATGCTGTGTTAGTGCATGTGTAGGCTCGGTCAATTTTACTGGTGACTACATCTCATTAAATATTCTTTCTCTCACCTAATGCTTTTGGCTTCGATTTTAATCTTGTCTGACAGTAACTGTGTCACCGCAGCATGTGCTGTTTGCCTGGTAGATTGTAGCTCAATTTTTCTGAGTCTGGTGTTTTTTTTTTTTTTTCTAAACTTTATTTTGAAGTAATTTAGATCCACCTAGAGGTTGCAAAACGAGTCCCATGAGTTCCTGTGTACTCCTCACCCGGCTTCCCCTGATGAAAACATCTTCCCTACTCAGCACAATTGCCTAAACCAGGACACTGGCATTGGGACAGTGCTGCCAGTGTTTCCATTGCATCTGCTCTTGGGCAATGTCAAGGCTAAGGTGCGGCGCTACAGCTGGCAATGTTTGCCCAAGCCTCTGACACCCACTACTAGCTCAGGGTTCCCCAAACCACCCTCAGATTGGACAATTTGCTAAAAAGACAGAACTCAGTGAAACCCATTGTACTGTTGGTCAGGCTTATTACAGGGAAGGATGCAGGTCAGAAGCAGCTAAAAGGCAGAATCTGGGGGTGTTCCAAGAACAGAGCTCCCGGGCAGCCTCTCTCCGGGAGTCCTTCTAGAGAATCACCGAGTCTGAGCGTAGCCTGAAGGGGTCCCCTGGCCTCAGTCCTGTAAGACTTTATCACATGTGTGGATTCACAGAACCATCACTACTGTTGACCTGAACTGTTCCATCGCCCCCAAAACTCCCTTCTGTTCCCCCCCACATATAGTCACGTACTTCCTAACCCTGTACCCTGGCAGCCTCCCCTCCATTCTCTGTCACCCTGTCACTTAGAGAATGTTAGGGACATGGAACAATTTGGTACATAACCAGGAAGACTGGTTTCTTTCACTCAGCATGAGACAGACCCAAGAGACCCATCCTGGGTACAACTTCTCATGGCTGGCTGGTACTCCGTCGTGTGGCACTCCCGGTCCCTTCACCCACAGAAAGATGTTTGGGTTGTTCTAAGGTCTGGCTCTTACAGGTGAAGTTGCTGCGAGCACTTATGTACAGATTTTTGTGTGTGCGTAAGGGTCCGTGCCTAGGAGCGGAATTGCCAGGTCACATGCTAAGCTGTGTTTAACCCGACAGGATGCGGTCAGCCTGTTCTCCAGTGGCCATGGCACGCACCTGTCCCCCAGCACCGTGTAGGAGCTCTTGGTGCTCCGCGTCCTTGCCAGCACCTAGTATGCTTGGTGTGTTCTGAGCTATTTTAGTGGGTGTGTAGCCCATCTCCTTGTGGGCTAAGGTGGCACATCTTTTCCTGTGCTTTTGCACTATCTGCATGTCCTCTTTGGTGAAGACTCACTTCAAGACTTTTGCCCATTTCCTATTTTTTTTTTTACTGTTAAATTTTAAGTTTTTGAAAAATATTCTGGGTTAAAGTCCATTTTGGGATATGTGACTTGAAAATATTTGTTTTCCAGTCTTTTTTTTTTTAATGCTCTCAAATAGTGACTTTCCTGCACAAAATATTTTGATTTTTTGGTGGAATTCAATTAATCATTTTTCTTCCCCCCCCCTTGGAGTTTTAAACACTTATTTTTTATTCAAGTATAATTTAGCATTATATTAGTCATAGATGTATGATATGATTCCACAATTCTATGTTTCTCAGTGTTCATCAAGGTCAGTGTACCTAAAAATTTTTTTTTAATTCCAGTATGGTTAAGATACAGTGTGGTATTAGTTTCAGCTTTACAGTATCATGATTCAACACTTCTGTACATTATTCCGTGCTCATCATGCGAAGTGCTTCATCCCCATCACCTGTCTCCCCCGTCCCCCACACCCCTTCCCTCTGGTGACCATCAGTGTGTTCTCTAAAGGTAAGAGTCTGTTTCTTGGTTTGTCTCTTTTGTTCTTTGTTCATTTGTTTTTTAAGTTGCACTTATGAACAAAATCATGCAGTATTTGTCTTTCTCTGATTTACTTCACTTAGTATTATACCTGATAAGTCCATCCCTGTTGCTGCAGATGGCAAGATCTCATTCTTTTTTAAGATTTTGAGAGAGAGAGAGAGGATGTGCGGGATGAGGAGAAGCAGATTCCCCACTGAGCAGGGAACCCGACATGGGGCTTGTTCCCAGGACCCTGGGATCATGACCTGAGCTGAAATTGAGAGTCCCACACTTAACCGACAGAGCCACCCAGGTGGCCCAAGATCTTAATCTTTTTATAGCTGAGTAATATGCTCGGGGTGTCCGGGTGGCTCAGTTGGTTAAGTGTTTAAATCTTAATTTCAGCTCAGATCATGATCTCAGGGTGGTGAGATTGAGCCCTGCGTTGGACTCAGTGCCAGGCATGGAGCCTGCCTAAGATGCGCGCTCTCTCTCCACCCCTCCCCACTGCACAGGCACATGCTCAGTCACTCTCTCAAAAAACAAAAGGGCAAGATCTCATTCTTTTTATGGCTAACACTCCATTGTGTATATATAATATATACACACACCAAACCTTCTGTATCCATTCATCTATGGATGGACACTGGGCTGCTTTCATGTCTTGGCTATTGTACATAATGCTGCAATAAACATAGGGGGCATATATCTTTTAATTTTTAATTTTTTTGGTATATATCTTTTTTGATTAGTGTTTTCATTTTCTTTGGTTCCCTCAAAAAGTTAAAATAGAATTACCATATGATCCAGTAATTCCACTAGAGGGTATTCAGTTTTTCATATCTTTTAGGGATGGTCTTGTGGGGTCATACCTAAGAACTCTGCCTAACCCTGGATCCCAAAGATTTTTTTCCCCCTCCTTTTCTTCTGTGTTTTCATTTGTGGCTCATTGAGTTAACTTCTGTGGAAGACATGAGGTCTGAGTCAAGGGTGGCTCTCTGAGGAGTAGATGTCTAATGGTTCCAACACCATTTATTGAAATGATCATCTTTTCTTCATTAACTTGCTTCTGGATTATTGTTCAAAGTCATAAGACCTTTTTGGGGAATGGTTTTAACTATGTCACTGTCATTGTGAGTTCTAGGACTACTCTGATTACTGCATTTTCAGTGTGTTATGGTAGTTTGTGGTTTTCAAGGGTTGATTCCCTTTAACTTGTTAAATTTATGTGCATGAGATTCTTAGTATTACTGTCAGAATATCTTGAGGTGGCTGAGTGACCTACCACCTTCCTTGCTAATATTGGCAATTTGTATCTTTTTCCCTTTAATAGACCTCTAGCAAGATTGGCCATTTTGTTGATATTTTCAAAGAACTAGCTTTTGATTTTATTTTTTTTCAAAATCCAAAATCTTTGACTTCACTGGTAGCTGCTCTTTCTTATTCTTATTTTGGTGACTGTCCCTCTGCCCTTGAGGGGTGAGTGTTCTATAAATGGGAATCAAGCTAAGCTGCTTAACGTTGTTCTAGTCTATCTATTGCTGAAAAGAAGGTTTACATTTCTGTTGCATAGTCTGATTTATCCATTTTACTTTATGATTAGTATTTTGTGTCTTGTATAGTAAGATTTTACCTCCCTGTTTTTAATCCCCGATGGATTATTTTATCTTTTATGTTGACAATCCACCTTGGGCTGTTTTGTATGGCATTTTATTTAATGATTTCTGTATGGTATTTATTAAGGATAAGAGTACTTTTTGATATTGTTACTGTAGGTATCAATCAACCCTGGTTCTTCTTATTTTTCAGGGGAAGGACAATGCTTGTAGATGCCCCTGACTTAGAGCCATGCTGTGCACCAGGCTGCACAGGTGGCAGGAATTGGCCTGCCCCTCGGAGGAGTTATCAAGCGTTGGCAGCTGCTGAGTGGGTATTACCCCTGCAGGAATGGCTTCCTCTCCAGGCAGACCCCCCAGATAATCTCTTTGTAGGGAGGATGTGTGTGTGTCCCCTCATTTAGCTCCGCTATCACTTGCAGGGGTTGTGAAGGGAGGATAGCGACCCCAGGCCACACATCTTCCTTCCGAGGAATCTGAACTTTACCTGGGAGCTGCAGGGGTCCACTCTGCCCTCCTTCACCCTAGGCAGCCAGTTTGGGCAAGAGGGTTACTTTTGTGTGTCAATATGGCCAGGCTGTGGTGGCTAGCTGTTTGGTCAAAGACCAGACTAGATGTTCCTGTGAGATTAACACTTGCATCAGTAGACTTTGAATAACACAGATTGCCTCTGTAATGTAGGTGAGCCTCATCCAATCCATTGAAGTCTTAAGAGAAAGGCCTGGGATCCCCGGGAAGGAGGGATGCACTCTGGAGCCTCCAGCCCACTGGCTGGCCCTGAACACTGTGGACTGGCTGGCCCTACATCCCGCGAACTGGTGTCTTAGGTCTGTGTCTCTCCTCTACCCATCCTGCTGGGGTTCCTTGGAAAAACCCTAATCCCGGGGTGGGCAGGGGGTGGTGGCTATAGCTATAGCACACACGGGGTTTTGCTGCTGGTCCTTCCTGGTCCCTTCCAGCCTGGCCCCCCCTCTACCATCTTTGTGCTTGGAGGGCAGAGCTGCTTTAAGATTAGTCCTGGGGCTCATCCTCAGGCAGCAGGGAAAGACTTTGGATTCGGTTCCTGAGGCAAAGGCCCTTGCCTGTTCACCTTAGAAGATGGGGCCTTGGCTCAGACCACTCGGGGTGTGACTGCCCCCCACCCCCCCAGACATGGTCATGAACAATAGGCTGTGTAGGTTTCCCACCTGGCCGCTGTGGAAAACACTAACCAGACGCTGGCACAGCACTCCACAAAGTGATTCAAAGCCCCACGAGTAGCCCCAGCCCCGTGGCCAGACCCCTGACCTTCCCTTTCTCCCCCGAGTCCGTCTTCCTCACAATGGGGCTGCCATGGCACAAATCTGGAAGCAGATATAGTTAATACAAATCACTGTGATTTAATAAATAGCGGGGTGTTCCTGTGCGGTCTGGGCCCGGCCCAGATGTCCTGCTTTCCAAGAAGCAGAGCCGAGGGAGGGACCTACCGCACAGTGTCCTAAAAGCACCCCTCTGAAGAGGGGCTGGGGGAAGGGCCACAGTCACATAAAAATAGAGATTATTTAGGGATTTTACACAGGTGGGGTCCACTATACATCGTCTTGGTGAATCTGGGCTTTCTTGGCTCTGGAAAAGAATTTTTCACCTAGTTTGAGGAGCTCTGACAAAATGAACACGGATGAGGCCAATCCCGTTAAAAACAACAAATCTGCAAAAAGGTGAAAGAAAAAAAGAGTCAGCACAGGCTGCTGCCCAGCAGGGCCGCAGCCTGGGGCTGCCGGGAAGCCTGGAGGAAGCTCAGCCCAGAGCTTCCTTCTCTACATTTTATCTGTTGTCACAGAGACAGCGGAGGTGAGCGGGGAGGACCCGGGAGCAAATCTTAGGACAGGAAATGCTACAGAGCCAGCTCCACAAGGACCACCTGCCTTTCTAGGGGGCCCAAGTGAGGGCTGTTGCCCACTTCAGCTTTAACAGAACCCTCAACCCCCCTATCCTGAAGAGAGACGCCCCGATCTCCACCTTGGGCTCCCCGTGCAGGGGGTCAATCCCTAGCACCTCCGCTGACCCCATAGGATCTTACTGTCAGAACCTTCCCCGGCTCCCTGTTGCCAACGATTCATTACAAGCATGGTGCCCAAACCATCCCCATCCAGGGCATTTCC